GGAATTGCTGAGGTTCCGTCAAAACCTGGATAACATCAAGGATTAAAAAAGCATCAACCTGCCTGCCTTGCATTCAGGAAACCTTGTTAAAACAGCAGACATGCAAGATACGGATATATACAACAGTAAGAAAGGACAACCCATCTGGGAATCGTGCCTGTGGTGGTGTGGGCCTTATCACCGCCCACAATCACCCATACATTGATCTCCCTTTGTCGACCTTCCTACAAGCTGAGCAGCCGAGCGGTAAAGTCGCTGAACACTGGTAGTTCGGTCCGAGGTTCGAATCCTGTGAACGGGCTGGCTGCATGGATGTTTTTGGGGTTTTCTCCATGTGTGTAACGTGTATATGAGCCAGTTTTCCTTAGAAAGTCCTCCATGTAGGCATCCCTCCCCTTAGGCAGATAACCCTAGTGTGCTTTGCCATAATTAATTGCTTGTTGGTTCGTGTCGTGCGTGTTTTAAAATGGCCTACGTTGCAATGATAGATGTGGTGGGAAGATTTCAATCGCATATTTTAGATTGTATGGAAAGTAAATTTAGTATAAAAGGTACGATTTGGAGTTGTTAACGAGTCTTTTGTTTGTGGGTGTGTTTATGAGGATTGAAGTATATTTTTGGAATTTCTGTGAGACTTTTAAAACGGAGTCTGAAATGTACGGAGCTGTTATGAGAACTCGGACGAAGAAGGGCATTTCTGATAATTCTTGTGTGGATTTGCATTCAAATGGTTGCTGGTAAAGTATGTGGTTGTCAGTGGAGTTTAAGATTTGGATTGTGGGTTTGGTGTAGTAAATTAACTTTGGAGGAAGTTGTTATCATTACTTTCGAAATTTTGAATCTTTGAAAGACATGTGATATAGCAAAATCGTGGTACTTTTGTTCAGAGACGTTGTGCGACTGGCGAATTTTATTCAGGAATGTATTATGGTAAGTGCATTTTATTTTGATGTTTTTATTTTGTAGAATGTTATGTTCATTGTTTTTTTACTATGAACTTTTGTTGCTGTTGTTGTTTTTTGAATTGTTTGTAATTTAGTCTATTTGGTTGATTTATGCGCAATGTAGATTGTGCAGTTTGTAGATTTTTTTTAGGTTTAAACAGGATGCCCTGTACATGGTATTCTTTGAAATTTATTGTTGCTATGTTAATTTATTAAAGCGAGGTGCGCGAAGTTCGTAGACTAGACTGTGCATTTCTCAGTTTAAATTAAAATATATCGCTGTGTACATGGATTCTTGTCAAATATTTTTAGTTAGAATATTAGATAGGCTAAAAAGTTAGCTTTATAAATTTTTTAACACCAACACCATCCCTACAAGCTGTGGCGGTTCAGATTAATTTACACTTTTCAGTCTCTGTATGCACCATTTATTTACCCTCACATCAGCATATTGATCAGCGAGAGTTGGACAGAATAGTAGAGCAGCTCTCAGAACCTTTATTGCTTTTAGGTGACTTCATTGCCCATAGTACATTACAAGGAAGTAGGGACACTTATTCAAGGGGCCGGCAGATCGAACAATTAATGGAAGTTTGTTCTCCATCTCTACTGCCTTTCTTCTCTTTCAGTGTAGGGAAGAATCTCTATGATAGTGACCACTTCCCAGTCCTTGTAAATATTACAGGGAAATCAAAGATCTCAAGACAACCACGCTTACTTTACGATAAAACTGATTGGGATCTTTTTGAATCTTGTGCTGTGCTGACTGAAGAAATGGTCAACGATGTGGACATTAATACAGCAGTAAAAATGATCTCTGATACTATTGTACAAGCAGCTGAACTCTGTATTCCGAGTCCTCGACAAAGTTCCCTAAACCCTGGTGGAACAATGATCGTCATGAAACGTCGAGAGAGCAAAAGGAAGCTTGGCGTATCTTTCGCCGATATCCAAGACTGGAAAATATCCTTGCCTTTAAAAAAGCTAAGGTGAAATGCAAGAAAAGTGAGGCGGCAAAGTCAGAGAAAATCATGGGCAGCCTATGTGTCCACTATTACGTCCTCAATGTCAGCAAACAGGTTTGGGAAAGAGTCCGCAAAGCCTCTGGACTCTATAATGATTATTCCTTTTCTGTTCTAGAAAAAGGTGGAAAGTTGATAAGCACTAGAGAAGAATTAGCCGATGCTTTAGGTGATGCATTTGCTGCTGTATCTGGCAGTAGCAATAACTCAAAAGAGTTTCTGCCCACAAAGATGCGCTTGGAAAGGATTCAAACCGACTTTTCTCATCCTAATGCAGAATCTTATAATAAAGATCTCACCATGTTTGAATTAAGAAATGTAATATCTCGCACGGATAGGACTTGCCCTGGTCCTGATGGCATAAGTTATTTGACGATAAAGCACCTGCCCTATGAATCTCTAGTGGTCCTTCTTGCTCTTTATAATAAGATATGTAAGGAACAAATTTTTCCTACGGCCTGGGGCAGAGCCTTTGATATTCCTATAGTAAAACCCGGCAAGGACACGTAAAATCCTTTAAATTATCGCCCCATCGCGCTCACTAGCTGCCTTTGCAAGATAATGGAAAAAATGGTAAATCACCATCTCACCTACTATCTGGAGACTAATCATTGCCTATCGCCTTACCAAAGTGGTTTCCGTAAGGGAAGATCTTCACTTGATAATGCCCTGTTTTTAGAAACCGCAGTATGCAATGCATGTGTGAAAAGAAATCACGTGGTTTCAATCTTCTTTGACATGGAAAGGGTATACGATAGAACTTGGCGGCATGGAACTCTTCATGACCTGTACAGCACTGGATTGTGAGGTAATTTACCCATCTTTATTCAAAACTTTTTGAAGGACCGCACTTTCCAAGTCAAGATTGGTTCGTTGCTTTCTCAAGTATTTGTACAACAAGAACAGGGTTCGCAGCGGTCCTTATAAGTTCTTATAAGTCCTTATATTTGAAAATAAAATATAAGGGCCCTTATAGGTGCTTACTTTTTCTCTAAAGCACTTATTTTTTGGGCTTTTAGTGGGGTTTTTTTTTTTTTTTTTTTTTTAGGAATGTGCATTTTTTCCCCGTACTAAAGCCGAAACTAAATAAACAACTTTTCTTCTTTATATAGAACGTCAGATGGTGACTCATATTCCCAGAAAAAGCTTTTTGCCCTTTTCTCTGATTAACGTAACCGTTGGTTCACGCGAGTACAGACTTTGGTGCACGTTGTTCTATTTGTCAAAAAAATGTGAAAGCGGTAGAAAATTCCAATACATTCCGTATTCTTTTGCTCACACCCGAATACTACACACGTTTTGAATTTCTATCAAGATTTTTAATAATTTACATTGTCGCTTCATGTGGTCAGTTCATATTCATCGTTTATTATGATCGGTATTGCTTATATTATGAGCATATGCATGAATATTTATAATAATATAGTTACAGTAACTGCTGAAGTATAGATAAACTTCAAAAATGGGTAAGTCTGTTTTAACACAGATTAGCTTTCTAAGGAATAATATTCTGAATTCTTAAATAAAGTTAAAGTAATCGAATAGTCATAATAATTTTTCTCTCTCTCTCTCTCTTTTTTTTTTTCCCAATGCATTATACATTATGAAAGTTGGGAGGTCCTTTCCTTTCTCCGCTTAATCTCAAATATTGAAACCGTTACAGTTCGCAGCAAAACAAGCAATGGACTTTTTTTTTTTTTTTTTTTTTTTGTCACTTTCCAATCTGGATTGATTAGGACTGAAAGTTCTGCGGTGTGCCAACCCAAGTGAAGAATAATTCCAGAAATTTAACACAGTCTGTTCAGAATTAGAATGAAAAACACCTCAGGTGGGTAAATCTCTTTTCCTTTATTTAGTTCTTTATTCTACGAATACCAGTAACTGTTCATTCCGGTTGTGTAATATCACGTACGGAAGAATTAAGGCTTACCGTATTGTGTAATAACATTTGCGATATTTTTCAAAGATAATTAATTTTGATGTTCAGTCTGAGATTTGTTAATGAGCACTTAAAAGAACTTGCTAAGCAGAATATTTTTCTGTTCAGTTGGGCTATTTTTATATGATGCACATATCGAAAGGTCAAAAGCATTATTTAGCCGAAAAATCTAAAGAAAGGCTGCAATCTACCCCCTCTTTTTCTAGTTTCACTCGACTATCCGGAATTTTCAGATATTCGGCAATTTCCGAGTATACGGGTTAGTAAAGCTTTTACTGTTAAAGGGTGACTGCATGAAGCAATTTCCCGTCTTCTGATTTCAGAAATGTTCCTCTTTTTACTTATTTTTACTTAAATTATTTAACTTGCAATATCTGTTAAGGGAAAACTGTTATACAATGAAAATTTATAGAATTTTACTGAATCTCTCATATTTAATTTAGAAAATTTTCAGAATTTTGACTTAAGTTAAAATTATTTAAATATTAATATGAGTGGAAAAATAAATTGAATTTCTTATTAGGTGCCAAGCGAATATAAGAAATATGGCTTATTATTATTTATTTTCTCTATTTTGAACTGAAATTTCATCATTAAATCTTGTAATATAATTTAGTTTTGCATCGTTTTTTCCCCCCTCATTATAAATAGTTCTGTAAATTGAACTGTTATTTAAAAAAAGTAATTGTTTTCCATGGTTGATTAATACTCAATCTCTCTTAATAAATACTGTTCTCATATTTAATTACAAGTCTAATTTTTCTTTTAAGGGTAGGCAGTTGTGTATAATGTAATTGGACAGATGCTTATTTTTTTCCTTAAAATGTGCTTGAAAAGCTTATTTTTTTAACTAAAATGTAGCTACTAATCCTGAAGGTGTACCACAAGGTTCAGTGTGTCACTCTTTTCAGCCTGAAAATTAATTCCATTTTAAGAGAACTTCCTCCCACAGTGCATGGTTCCCTGTATGTTGATGATCTGATGACCTATTGTCATGGTCAGGTTATGAGATACATTGAGAGACAACTACAAATTGCTCTAAATAGAATCATAAAGTGGTCCAACAACAATGGTTTTTAATTTTCTAGTCAGAAGACAGTCTGCGTGTGCACTTCTGTCGCAAAAGAAATCTACATCCTGATCCAGAGCTGCATCTTGACGGCTCTTTGATCCGCGTTGAGCCAGAAGCAAAATTCTTTGGAGTTATCTTTGACAGAAAGCTCACTTTCCTTCTGCATATCCTAAATCTAAAGAAAAAGTGTGGTAAAGCTCTCAACATACTGAAAGTCCTGGCCAATACCTCATGGGGAGCAGAACGTTATTATATGCTCCGCATTTATAGAGCTTTAATCTGTTCCAAACTTGACTATGGCTGTGTTATCTACGGATCAGCAAGACCTTCTGTGCTCCTGAAATTGGATCCAGTCCACCATCAAGTGCTATGTATTTGCTGTGGAGCCTTCAGAACATCTCCAGTCCAAAGTTTATATGCCATCTGTTTTGAACCATCTTTGGAATTCAGACATAAGCAGTTGTCCATTGATCTTCATTATAAAGTACCATAATTTCCGGAAGAAAGGCCGCATCAGTGTAAACGGCGCACTCGAGAACAATGGCGGGAAAAAATTAAAATTACACAGAAACGCCGCATCAGCGTAAACGCCGCAATAGATTAAATTGCGCGTGACAACGTTGTGGGCTGTATAGATGCAAAAAACTCAACCTAAGTCCTGATATATATATGACATACCAGTTAGAAAAATGCATGAAATGAAACCATAACTCAAAAATAAATTAAAGGTAAGAAATGTATAGCTTCCGTGCCGTTTAGAGACATTTTCAAAAAATTTCCGCTCCCTTCTTACTTAAAAACTATCAACAAGTACTTGTACTCAAACTGATGGGATCTGTATTTGGCAGAATGCCAAGAAAAATCCATTCATACTGAAGGGGAAATATGTCAGAGTTCGTTATTGCGAGGCAGGTGGAGTCGTGTCCGCTTTTGAAAAAAATTGCAGAAAAGGCAGGGGTGGGGAGAGGATGGGTCCTGGAAGATTCATCAAATGGCAGAGGAGAGAGACTGTTCAAACTGATGAGAATGTTGATTTGAAAGGGGGAAGAATGTTATTGTTCTGAGATCTCGTTTAGGGTGAATAAGGCATGTAGGTCCATTCAAGGGAAAGAATGTAAACAAAATAACGTTCGCAAAAAGCAACTGAGTGGTCTTTTGTGTGGGAACAGCACCAGTCTATGCACAAGGCCATCCAAACTATGTACAATGACCATCATAGGAAATATTTTATTTTTAGTGCACCTAAACGCCGCATGGGTAGAAACGCTGCACCCGCTGAAAATTTAAGTTTTAAACACGTAAACGCCGCGGCGTTTCTTCCGGAAATTACGGTAATGTCACAGGCCGAACATCCTGTCAAACTCACGACATCCGATCAGTACTGCCGTCTTTACCATGCCCGTACTTCATGTATCCCACCTTTTAATCTTCGTATTCACCCACTGATTGAAGAATTCAACCTAAATGATCTGCATCCCAAAAGCTTTGACCTTTTCGGTATTGCTCCCTGGCAAGAAGTGAACATTCACCTACTTAACATTTTTGGTGAACTAAAGAAGAGCAGTACCAATGATATCCAATACCAACAAATTTTTCCTAGACCATAGAAGCAGTTATTCTAACTACAAAGCAATTGTTGCTGATGGCTCAAAGAATCATGATCATGTCGGGGCAGCTTTTGTTTGTGATAAAGAAATAAAAAGTAGTAAACTTCATAAGGCTGCATCTGTCTTTACTGCGGAAACTTTTGCCATTTTGAATTCCTTAATCTTTATCTCTTGGCAGAATAACAGAAAGTTCATCATCTACTCTGACTCTCTGAGTGCTCTTGAATCAATAAATACTAATACCAGCCACACTTTGGTTTTAGAAATTTTAAAGGCACACCTCCATTTGAGAAATGCAGGTTATTATATTCCGTACTGCTGGGTGCCTGGACACGCTGGCATCAAAGGCAATGAACTCGCCGATATCGCAGCAAAATCTGCTGATATTACCTCAGAAATTGATGTCCCTTTTACAGACATACGGAATTACGTTAGAACAAAGGTGTTGTTCAGGTGGCAAGAATTCTGGAAATGCCAAACTCTGAACAAATTAAGACAGGTAAAACCCAATTTGGAGTACTGGGAGTCGAATGGGAATCGGAAGGAGGATGTACTACTGACTCGCTTGCGAATTGGTCATTGCAGACTGACACATCAGTACCTCTTGACAGGGGATAATGAGCCTATTTGTGGCACTTGCAATGTTTCCGTTTCAGTCAATCACATTTTAACCTGCTGTCCTGCTTTTAGTCAGAAATGTGAATTTTATTTTTACGAATGTTAACTTAACAGATCTCATTAGAAGAACCCTCACATCAACCTCATAAGTTTTTAAAAGACATCTCCTTTTACTGTATGATTTGAACTACATTTTATCCTGCTCTACCTGTTGCTAGAGCATTTTTCAGTCATTTCTGCCTGGATATTTTAAAGTCATTTCTCCATGCCTTCATCAGCATTTCAGATTCATTTTATCAATTCACTTGACCCAGTGTGTTTATGCATCTTGAATTTTACTCACCATTTATCTGGCGCAAAATAACCCTCGAGGTTTTGTGCCATTTAAAAAACCAACCAACTTGCTTTCCTTTTCTATGCCACATAATGCAAAAAAAATCTTAAAGTAATTACTACAGAAATTATAAAATTTAAAATATAAAAATCAAGAAACATAAAAGGCCAAAAAGGTTAACAATCAAATCGCAGGGAAAATGCAAAAGAATTAAAATAATCAAACAATTTTCAGATATTAAAATTAATTTGAAAGCCCTGTGTAAAAGTAAAAAACAAGGGCTGACTCGACTATGAGAATTAAAAAACTTTTCCCTTTAAAATCTTGTTAAAGTAAATAAAAAGGAGCAATTATGCTCAAAAAAGAAAAAAAATGCTTAACTCTCTGACTGCTCAATTTGTAGACCAAAATCGCTTCCAAAATTGCCCCCCCCCCTTTTTTTTTTTTTTTTTTTTGTGCGTATTTTAAATCTATATATATAGGAGAATTGAAAAATGCACTTTTTCTTTCTAGAAAATATTTTTTATATAGATTTTATCATGAGAAACTAAGTTGCCAGAAAAGCAATTTCAGATGTTATCACACACAAAAAAAATCCTTTTTTTAAAATAAATTTCAGTCGAATTACAGTTAATTTCCATTTATTGCATAATATAAAAAAGTAAAATGTATAAAATTTAAGAAAATATAAAGCGCTGAGGGGAAAATACCTTAAAAATGCAGTTTAGTATGATAGAGTTCAAACTTCACAGTCTTTGCACCAAATTCAATAAAGCTAATTAATAATCAATATAATTACTAATGTAATCAGTAATTCAATAATTTAATTAAATAATCAAGATAATTGCTGAACGTTTTCTAGCAGCCATTTCTGTAAGAAAAAAAGCAGCAAAAAGTGAAATTTGAGCGCTAATACCCGTGCCTTCAAATGCCGCAATTTAGTAGACAACTAACGATATCTGTTGGCCAAAACGTAAACTAAACACCTAATACTTTATATAATTTATTTCAATGGTTAAACGGGGAAAAAACGGGATGCGCTCCTCAATAAAGGAAGAAAAACTTATGCCCATGGAAATTGCGGGATGAGAAAATTTTGCTACGTTTCAGTTGCCAGTGAAAATCGTGGGATGATCAGCCAGAAGGTTAAAACAGTTAAAGATGGAACTTAAAATCATACCTTTCAGTCAACATAAACTCAATTAAGCTTTGAAATTGAGCTGAAATTTTCAAAGCTTAATTTGGCAGCAATTAAGCTTTGAACATTTTGGACGTGTAAAGGTTGCTAAATTTCGAACGAACCTAACAAAAGGGCTACCAGAAATTTGAAACAGTCTACTTCAGCCAATAGCAAGGGTCTTCAAAACCTGAAACTAGCCAGCTGTTCTTGTTGCTATGCCAATGGAGGATTTCAGAAATAAGGGGGCACAATGGGGGGGGCATAGTCAGAGGTAACCAGTTAAAAACATTGAAAGTTGTACATTATGTGGCATAGAAAACGAAGACATGTAGGAAAAAGAAATCAATTTAATGAGACTTTAATTTAATGAGTTTTTAAAAAATATTAAGTTTAATTAAAATGGTTTGAAGTCTCAGTGAATTTATTAGAGCGAAACATGTTAACATTTTTCTACTTGGTCAACTTAGTTTGAAGCTTCGAAACACTTTTCCTTTGACAAGTTCTGTTTGAAGCTTTAAACAGAGGAGATTAACAAAAAAAAAAAAAAAAAAAAAAAAAATTGTACTCTGTATTTTTCCCATAGTAAAATATTTGGACATGATTGTCTTATTTTAAAGTATTTCATTTTTGCAACGTGTTTCTGGAAAAGGATAGGATACTTTCAAATATTTAAGCAGCTTTTGTTAGGTTTTAAATTCCCTACATAATTGAATTAATTTTTAAAATTTAGTAGCTCAAGGTGCTAATTTTAGTCTCAATTTTTTCTTTCTTTTATTTTTGTAAAGCACTTTTTGACTACTTTGTTATATCTTCTTAAAATATGTATATAATTACAAAACAGTTCTTTTCAAAACAAAACATGAACTTGCCTAGTATTTCCGTGCATTATGCTGCAAAAAAATTATCATTAAAGAAATGAAGTAAGAAATTTAGAACTATCATAATATGTATATATATATATTTTTATAAGAGAAATGTTTAAGAGCTAATGCTAAAAAATACATCTGACACTATAGTTCCTTAGCAAAAATGTAAAATCATGTAATAACTAGAAACATTATTAAAGTAGTAAAAGCTATCTCATAAATACTAAATGTAAAAATTACAAATCGAGATGACTTCAAAATCAAAAAGGGTGAAAAAAAATTAAGAGATTTTAACGCACAAATAATTTCAAAAAAAAAAAAAAAAAAAACTTGTGTAAAAATTAAATACATTTCAAATACACAGTAAATATGTACAAAAAATTGCAATAAAAATGGTAAATAACTGAACTCGAGGTTTCAGCCGGATTTATCAAGGGAAAAGCAGCTCAAATCCCGAATTAAGTTAATACATGTAGTGCGTTCTGTCAAACAACAATTGAGACTATAAACGTAATTTCACTAAGGTCTCTCTAATTCATGTTGTCTTGCAACTTTCGTATATATGTATATATACACATACAGAGAGAGAGAGACAGTACTCACCACTAATTAAAATAACTTCCATTCCAAATAAATTTGTTGTTGTCTTGTCCATATTACATGAAACAATGTTTGCCAGAGCCTACTTCGAAGAGAAATTGGACTTCTATTTTTCACCCCCAATTTTGAGGGAGAAATCCATGGACCTCCCACCAATCCACACGAGAGGACTTTCGGGTCACTGCATATTTAGAGCACGGCCATGCTGCACCAACACTATAACATTTACAAACATCCATTCCTTACCCGGGATTCGAACCTGGACCCTTCAGTACTGTAGTAGGCTCTCCTAACCACTATATCATCTGGGCGACCCAAATATAGTTGAATTTATTAAGTGGGTGAGTTTAATAGGTAGTGATTAGTGTATTGTAAACTGTTATATCAGTTTTAAACATGTCAAGTAAAATAATAACTACCCACAGTTTCATTAATTGTTCATAAAAATAATAATTAAAACGAGTACTAAAATTAAACTATTTATGCACTTTTAGAATTCATTATAACATTTTTCATAAAAAATATTTTCATAACATTCTTGATGAGTTTTTGTCATACAAACAACTGTTCTATCAGTGTTTGTTTCATATTGTTCAACAACAATTTTTCAGTTGCATTCTCAGTTTTGTAAAACTGCTGATACCTTTTTTGATCAACAACTTTCAGTTCAAGAATTTGTCTTGGAGTTTGCAGTGCTTTTCTAGAGTCACCTAATAATGGAATGTCATCACTTTTTTCTGTATCACATTTGCTGTCAATTCTTATAAAACTTTCATAGTCAGATTTATATATGTTGTTTCAATATTATTGTGAATTAACACATATTCTAAAGATGAATTTTCATAACTTTCCTCGCTGATATCTGAAACATGAGCCATAGTTTGCAATTCCTCTGAGATTTCTTCTAGATAAAAGTGGTTAAGTTCTCATTCCTCATACAGTTGCCAAAGGTTTATTTCATCCCTAGCTTGATTAATCAAACAAAAATTGGAAAGTGTACGTAGACCTTCATGTTAAATACTGGATTGGCATAAGGGTGCTGACAATCAGTTTTAAGCCAGAAACTAATCTTCATTCTACACACTCTCCGTTATGCCCTGACAGTGTTATGAAAATTTTCTTTTTTTGAATAGCGTTTGACTTTTATAAAAGTGCAACAGTTCTGGGCACCACTGTAAAGGCATCTCACAAAAAAAAAAAAAAAAAAAAAAAAAAAGATAGTGCACAGTATGTTTAACAGATGAACTATAAAAAGTTTTGATAACTACAGTTAGGATATTCTGGCACTGAAGAATTCAGCCTTATGCTAATTTGTATTTAATAAATGGCTGAGATGAATTTAATAAATTAGCAGTTTCACTACTGATTATGTATATGGCTTGGTTCCTGGAAATTGGGGCTCGACTGGAGCAGCCTCATGAACGTAATATGTGGCAGGTACTGTATATATATTATAAATAGATTTTATATCAAAATTATGTTAGATAGTCTGTATTTTCATAGTTATAGAAGAAGCTTTTGTGTACTGAATTCATATTAAAAGGTCACTCCAAATGTATTGTTACATTTCTACGGGTCCATGGATTTGAAGTGACTTACAAGACTTGATGAAGAATCAAAGCAAAACTTATTAGACAGTATTACTCGGAACAGTTCCAAAAACTCATTTACAGTCATTGAGAAACTATGACAAACATGCTGAAACAATCAGCAACACAGCTATCAAGCTATGACGGTGAAGCTGTCTTCACAACAAAGCACTAAATACAGCTCTCAACTCGGTCTATCGCTCTCGGAGCTGAACACACTGAAGATAAATATTGACGATATACTCTTGCAATGCATTAACTGGGGATCACTTAACGATGCATGATATCCTCAAGCTACTCTATGTACATGCAGGGTTTATATAAAGCTTTTGGCCTGCCTTCAAGAACATTTTGGGCCAAACCGGTAAGAATTTGTTCTAAAATGTTCTCCATCCGTCTATGATATATTGGCTATTTTGTCACCAAATGGGCAACTTTGCACCAAATCTGACAACCCTGCCTCTCCTTGCCATTTTACGGCAACGTTAAACGCACTTTGCGGGGAAGCTATGTTACTGCGGCTGGGCATTTTGTAACAGTATTTTTTGTAGTACTGTGTTCCACATGTATTTTTGTGTTTTACATATATTTTCTAATTCTAAATGTTTTTTCTGAATGTTCATTTGAGATTAAATGGAGAGTATAGTGACTTTGACCTTGTAGATTTCAATTTACCAATTTTAAATGTTGGATGAACAGTATTTTTCACTAAAGAACTTGATTTAAAATAGTCTAACTTTGCCATTTTACGGCAACATTAAACGCACTTTGCGGGGAAGCTATGTTACTGCGGCTGGGCATTTTGTAACAGTATTTTCTGTAGTACTGTGTTCCAAATGTATTTTTGTGTTTTACATACATTTTCTAATTCTAAATGTTTTTTCTGAATGTTCATTTGAGATTAAATGGAGAGTATAGTGACTTTGACCTTGTAGATTTCAATTTACCAATTTTAAATGTTGGATGAACAGTATTTTTCACTAAAGAACTTGATTTAAAATAGTCTAACTTTCTTTTCAAGTAAATGCTGCAGTTAAATTTGATTATTATTAATAATTAATCCCATTATTTCTAATATGTTATACTGAGATACAAAGATACATTTATGGATTTTATTTCTAATATTTATTCTCATACACATTATTTATGAAAGGAATTTTGAAATTGCTGCATTTCACTTTTTGTATGCATGAAGAGAAATTTGAAATTTTACCAGTTGACATTTGAAACACTTTAAATGTGATTATTTATTACCAGTTTTATTTGAGTTTAAATCATTGCATATATTTGAGCTTCTTTCTTTTTCTTATGTAATAAATGTAAAAAATCAATTTGTATGTATTAGTTTTATGCAGTTCTGAAAAGAAGCATATAAATTAATGATCTTAACCTTCTCTAAATAGATTCAGCTTTATTTTAATGTCATTGAAATTTGTTGTTAAATCCAAGGACTAAAAAAAAAAAAAAAATTGTAGAAGCCTTTTTTTAACTTCCGTTAAAAGAAATTTATTTCCAAATAGTTAAAAATCATTTTTATGAAAATAAATAATTTTTTCACTTCTGTTTTTATTGTATAATTTTTTTGTAGCAATAACTGGTGAAACTAAAAGAGTTGTTGGAGCTGCCTACTATAGAATTGAAAGTATTATTTCCAGTTCTCGTTGGTATGGGGATCAAACACATTTCATCTCTTTACCAATAAACAGCAAAAATATCCAAGAATATTTTATAAAGTTTCGAGAGACTATTCTATCAACTTGTCAAAAAGTAAGATAATTTCTCATTTGTGTTCAATGTATATTTTTGTAAAGAAATGGATTTTCAGATAAAAAATTTTAATTTGTAACTGATGTGTTTAAAATGCATGTACATTCAATAGCATCATTTAACCCATCATCAGTGAAACTCTAGTGTATAGATTTAATACATGTAAAAATGTTTTAATAATTTTTATAGAACTTTAAATCAGTCTTTTCTGTTTCAGTCAAATTTTGATCTTCAATTCAAAATTTCAAAACTTTTCTATTTCAATCAAATTTTGAAAAACTATATTTGTATTATTTTAAGATATTTTAATTGCTGAACATTATTTGGCATTTTAATACTTGTTTTATTTAGTAAAATATTTGCTATAATTTTTATAACTAGATTTTGTAAACATTGTTGTAATATTATGAAGTTTTAGTACCTCCTCCAGTGTTCCATGCACTATTATTTTTAGAACAAATGCATAGCACAGAAATATAAATATGATGGGATCATCATGAGCATTCAGTGTGTTGACAGTCTATGGTTCTTAGTTTATCATGAAGTAAAAGCCTGAATGTTTAGAGAGAACTTTGCCCTCTATCTATAATTCCAGACAGAATTTCACTGCAATTCAAGAATACTCCTTGTTCAGGAAAATACTATTCTTTGCAAGTGAATTTATAATTATCTATAATATATAGCACAATGAATGTTTGACACTAAAAGGAGATTTTTTTTTTTTTTTTTAAATTTTGTCTGGTAGGTGATAGATTATTTAGGGTAGCTATGTTATGTTATTGGAGCACGAAAGAGCAGTCTGCTTCAGGAAAGTTTTTATGGAAACTGTTGTAAATTGTCAGTTTAAGTCTGTCTTCAGCTGTTAAACCATATATCCACAGCTAAACCAGTATCATCTTTAAAACTGTTCAAGGTAACTAACAATCTGCTCCTTTATTTAAGAAAATTTATTTAATCTCTTTTGAACACAAATGATTCATTCTAACCTATTTGTTAAAATACATTGTAAAGTACAGTAATATCAAGTATAGTTTTATAAAATGAATATTTTTTAGCTAAGAAAAGATGACTGCAGCATACAGTGTGAAAACAAGTTAGTTCACCGAATTTTTAATTTAACCTTCTGAGTGGCATGATTGGGTTTAAGGGGTCAAGAGGATCTTCCAACATAAGCAGCATGGGTGCTTTTAAGTGGTCTCTGCCAAGTTACTTGAAAAGAGGACTAGCAGTCATGCAGATATCTGACTGCCTTATGATTAGTAGTAATCCTGTAGCTGTTCTAAATGAGGGCTCTCAGCAGGCAGTCTAAGAAGGTTGATTTATTTTGTTGTATAACTACTGTATTATAAGAGTGGCCAACTTTTGTATGTATAATGACTGACCTTTTTCTTCAAAAATGTATTGCAATCTATCTTTTAAAATCTTGACTTTTAACACATTCAGACTTATCTCTTATGTACTAATAAGTGACTTTGTTGAAGGGGTATTAAACTGTGATATTTTATTAAGTATATGCATTAATTGAAAAGTAGCAAAATTTTTTTATTTTATTTTATTGTCTTATTATAAATGGGAAGTTTGCTTCTACATGTCTTCAGCCAAGTGTTTATAATTTGGTGTATCTATAAGCACAATAATTACCAATATTTGTTCTTTAAAAAAATAAAAATTGCTTCTGTAGGTTGATTACTATTACTGTTAAATTTTTTAGATTTTACTTTTACTTTTCATCAGAAAGATTTTGGGTTTTCTTACCTACTGAATATACCAAAAGAGGTGTTACTTTATGTGACTGTAAGCAGCAAAACGAGTTTGCTTGCCTCAAAACCTTTAAAAAAAAAAAATCGGGTGAAAAGATCTGAGTTTTTATCATGTATCAGTATCTTGTTTTATGTATTTAAGCGGTGTACTGATATCAAATTGTGCAAAATATATTTGTCACTTAACAAAGATTGACTATTTCCATCTCCTTTTGAAATATGCATAATTTCTATATGAAAAACTGTTAGCCTAGGGTTGAATTTTGTATAAACTGCTATAATAGTATTTTAACTTAAACAGCAAATAAAGACATATTCATATGAAATTATGCTGGGTTTATGTACCTTCTTTTCTAGTCTAAAATCATTTTTTAATAATTAGATGATTTTTAATAAAACTGAATTGTTACAATTGTAGTAAAATTTCATAATTAACAAAATTGTGAATAATATAATTTTATTTAATTAATAATAATAATAAATTATTTTTCATTTCTTTTTCTGATTGTTATGGCTCCCATCTGTAAACAAATTTTCATGCGAAAAAATAATTGATAATGATGTTGTATGCAATTTACCACTTTTAGTCATTTACTTTTTAGGTGGCACCACCAAAATTGGTTGTATTAATAATTTCTTTTAGAATTTTCTGCAGTCTGTTAGTATTAGTACCAACTGTAGGATTGACAAAGTTATTGTCCATCCTTCAGACAGTATTAATGGTCAAACAGTTGAATCATGCTTGGGAATTTTGAAGCTAAAGATTCTGCAGAACATGTGAAGTACCACATCCAAATGCTCCCTTGTTTTCTCGTAGAAGCATGAGGGAGATCCATTAGTAAGAGTGATGATTATTTTTTGGCCATGTTGCACAATATTTATAATGTAAATGGCTTGATGCCTCATAAAAATTGTCATTTAAAGGGCCAGTCCTGCTTTTGTTTTGTAAAACTTGAAGGAATAAATTTAATGAATTTAAAGATTGAATGATTTATTAAATTAAATAATGGAATCATTTTAATTAATGTATCTTTAATTATTTCTATTTATTTTTACTCATATATTTAAAAAATGCCGTTTTAATGTCACCATTTATAAAATAACTAACTAAAAGTTAAATCATATACTGCATCATTGCTTAGTAATTTGCAAGATCTTACATTTTATCTGATTGTTTGCTTATTTTTTTAAAATTAAATATGGAAGAGAATATGAATAATATAAAAATGAGAGAATCATAGATGGAGGATCCTCTAAGGGAAACTGTCTGATATTTACATCACGCATTGAGAGAGATCACAAAGACATGTATGCAGCTTCAATTAGAACCCAAATCCAACTACTAGTGATATTTTATACAAAATAAGATCTTTTTAATCAATCTCATGTTAATGACAGCTAGGATTGTAATTTCATGGCAAAAAAAAAAAAAAAAAAAAAAAGACAGAATTTGCTGTACAATTAACTGGAAAATTAATGAAATTTTTGTAACCTAAGAATAACATTGGAAAATTTTAGGAAAATTCATGGTCAAAGGTTCATGTTCAGAATTTCACCTTATCATTTCAAGACAATTGGGGAGAAAGCATTTTTTGAGGATGTGCTCAATGTTCTAACTATATAATGATTATGTTTAAAATTGAAACTTATATTTCTCAGAATCGCTTCAAGTACACAATACACAAAATAAGTGTTTGAAGAAAAATATATTTAAACATCTAGTAATTGCTGGTTTTGAGGAAAACTGAGTTATAATTTTTGAAAATTCTGTCTCTAAAAATGAATATGCTTCTTTCTACATAATGCAAAGCTCTGAAAGTGAATATAATAGTGAAACAAGGTGTAAAAGATGGAGGTGTTTTGCTAGTTTGGTACTGAGAATTTACATCAATTAAATTTTATTGTATGTTGAACTTATATGTCAGCTGAATATTTCCATTTAAAAGGATGGCATTTTCATACAAATATTCTGTATTAATTAGTAAGTTTAGAAAATGGATAGTTGATCATCAGAACTGTTTATCATTACTGACAGACAGCACAGGACTTTATCAGTTATTCTAAAATGATATTTCTGATATTCTATTGGTCTAAAATGATATTTTCTGATATTCCATTGGCAAGGACTGAAATATAATACTACGACTAAACTGAGAGTTGTTTTCGATGCTTCAGCTAAAACGACATCGGGTCTTTCATTAAATGATATTTTGATGGTTGGGCCAAGAGTTCAGCAAGAGCTGTTTCCAATTCTTCTACGTCTAGTGATACATTTCATTTTTCGGTATGCATAAGTGATAAAGAGTTTACTAAGAGGACTATTTTATCAGAGATAGCCAAAATCTTTGATCCAATGGGATGGTTAGCGCCAACAATAATATACGCAAAAATATTATTACAAGAGTTATGGAACTTACAGCTGGGTTGGGATGAACTCATTGATAAGAGAATAAGTAGAATTGCCCTTACTTTCAAGCTTACAATTTCCGAGGTATGTTTTGAGTCCAAAGGCAGTAGTTATAGAAATCTATGCTTTCTGCGACGCTTCAGAAAAGGCTTATTGTGCAGTCTTTTTGAACCGCGCAGAACTAGATTTCTATAACTATGCTTTGGCTCAAACATACATAGGAAATGTAGCTGAAGTAAGGGCAATTCTCTTATGCTCTTATCAATGATCCTCCCACCCAGCTGTACGTTCCATAACTCTTGTAATAATATTTTGCGTATATTTTTGGCGATAACCTCCCTGGAGCAAAGATTTTGCTATCTATGAGAAATGTCTTTAGAAACTCTTTATCACTTATGCATACCGAAAATGAAGTATACTAGACTAGAAGAATTGGAAACGCTCTTGCGCCTCTGGCCACCATCAAAATATCATTTAATGAAAGACCCGATGTCGTTTTAGCTGAAGCATCGAAAACAACTCTCAGTTTAGTCGTAGTATTATATTTCAGTCCTTGCCAATGGAATATCAGAAAATATCATTTTAGACCAATAGAATATCAGAAAATATCATTTTAGAATAACATGATAAAGTCCTGTGCTGTCTGTCAGTAATGATAAACAGTTCTGATGATCAACTATCCATTTTCTAAACTTACTAATTAATACAGAATATTTGTATGAAAATGCCATCCTTTTAAATGGAAATATTCAGCTGACATATTAAGTTCAACAGTATCAATAAAATTTAATTGATGTAAATTCTCAGTACCAAACTAGCAAAACACACCTCCATCTTTTACACCTTGTTCACTATTATATTCACTTTCAGAGCTTTGCATTATGTAGAAAGAAGCATATTCATTTTTAGAGACAGAATTTTCAAAAATTATAACTCAGTTTTCCTCAAAACCAAGCAATTACTAGATGTTTAAATATATTTTTCTTCAAACACTTATTTTGTGTATTGTGTACTTGAAGCGATTCTGAGAAATATAAGTTTCAATTTTAAACATAATCATTATATAGTTAGAACATTGAGCACATCCTCAAAAAATGCTTTCTCCCAATTGTCTTGAAATGATAAGGTGAAATTCTGAACATGAAACCTTTGACCATGAATTTTTCCTAAAATTTCCAATGTTATTCTTAGGTTACAAAAATTTCATTAATTTTCCAGTTAATTGTACAGCAAATTCTGTCTTTTTTTTTTTTTTTTTTTTGCCATAAATTACTCATAGCTGTCATTAGCATGAGATTGATTAAGAGGATCTTAGTTTGTATAAAATATCACAGTAGTAATATGGGTTTCATTGAAGCTGCTACAGTCTTTGTGATCTCTCCACTGGTGATGTAAATATAAGACAGTCCCTTAGTATTATCCATCTAGATCTCTCATTTTTATTAGTAATCCTCCATATTTAATTTAAAAAAACGCAAACATCGATAAATGTAAGATCTTGCAAAGTCTACGCCGATCAGATATGATTCACTTAGTAGTTATTAAAATGGTAAATTAAAACGGCATTTTTTAAATATCTGAGTAAAATAATAGCAAAATGAAAGATACATTATAAAATGTTCCATTATTTAATTAATACATCATTCAATCTTTAAATTATTAATTTATTCTCAGTTTTACAAACAAAGCAGACGGCCTTTAAATACAATTTTTTAGGCTCAGCCATTTACATTTAAATAGTGTGCAAGTGGCCAAAAATATCATCATCTTACTAGGATCTCCCTCATGCTCTACTAGAAACAAGTGAGATTTGATGTGGTACTCACATGTCTGCAGATCTAGATTCAAATCCCAGCATATCATGTTTACCATATACTGTTGCAGGATGGACAACAACTTTGTCAATCCTACGTTGGTACTCTTACTAACAGACTGCAGAAAATCTAAAAGAAATTATAATACAACCAATTGTGGTGCCACCTAAACAGTAAATGACTAAAAGTGTATTGCATACAAACCATTCAATTATTTTTTAGCATGAAATTTGTTTAAGATGGAGCCATAACATCAGAAAAAAAATGAAATATTTATTATATTATTAATAAAATTATGTTAGTCACAATTTGTTACTATGAATTTGACTACAATTGTAACAATTTTATAAAATTCATAATTATAAAAAATGATTTTAGACTAAAAGAAGTACATAAACCGCAATTTCTTATGACATTCTTTATTTGCTGTTTAAGTTAAAAACATTATACATTTTAACAAAATCAACCATAGCAACAGTTTTCAGATAGAATTATGCATTTCAAAGGAGATGGAAATCCATCTTTGTAAGTACAAATATTTTGCACAAGTTGATATCAGTCACCGCTTAATACATAAAACAAGATACTATACAGATAAAAACTCAGATATTTTCACCCGTTTTTTTTTTTTAAGGTGTGAGGCAAGCAACTCGTTTTGCTGCTACATTCACATAAAGTAAACCTCTTTTGGTATATCAGAGGTAAGAAACCCAAAATTTCTGAGGAAAAGAAAAGTAAAATCTAAAAAAATTAACAGTAATATAATACCCTACAGAAGAATTTTTTTTTTAAGAACAATATTGGTATTAGGGCTCTAGATACACCATTATAACACTTGGCTGAAGAATGTAGAAGAAACTTCCCATTTTATAATAAAAATAAATAAAATAAAAAATTTGATTTTCATTAATGCTATATTATAAAGATCACATTAATACCCCTACAAGTCATTATTAGACATAAGAGATAGTATGAATTGTAAAAGCAAGATTTTAAAAGATAGCTTGCATACTTTTTTGAAGAAAAGGCAGTCATTATATACAATTTGCCACTCTTATAAGACAGTAGTTCTACAACAAAAAAATCAACCTTTTAATGCCTGTGAGAGCCCTAGTTCGAACAGCTCCAGGTTATACGAATATAGGCAGTCGATATTGCATGACGCTATCTCTTTTCAAGTAATTGCAGAGACACTTAAACGCACCCTGCTCTTATGTGGAATCCTCTTGACCCTTAAACCAATCATGCCACAAGGTTATTAAAAATTCGTGAACTATTGTTCACACTTATGAGTCAGTAATCTTTCTTATCTAAAAAATATCTTTTAAAACGTACTTGCTAGTCCTGTACTCTACATGTTTTTAACAAAGAGGTGAATGATCGTTGTGTTCAAAGGATTAATACTTTTCTAATAAAGGAGCAGTTGTTAGTACCTGGAACGTTAAGATGATATGGTTTAGCTGTGGATCTCTGGTTTAACAGCTGAAGACAGACTAACTGCCAATTTACAAAGTTCCATAAAAACTTCTGAAGCGACTGCTCTTTCGTGCTCCAATAACTAACATAGCTACCCTAAATTCATCACCACCAGACAAAATTAAAAAAAAAAAAAAAATCTCCTTAGTGCAAACATTCATTGCGCTATTATTATGAGAATTATCAATTCACTTGCAAAGAAAGTATTGCCTGAACACGGATATCTTGAATGCAGTGAATTCTGTCGGG